TTTGGTCAATGCACATCACTACTACACTGATCTTCACAAAAAACAAACGGCAGCTCGATTGGGATAATTTCACAGTGATCGTAGTCTGAGTGACACATTATCTGTAGACCTCTGTGTCACATCGAGATGAGAAAAGGCTCAATGGCCAGGTAACTACTGCTTTGAAAATCACTTGTTACATGGACCCAGAATAGGGAGAGGAAGAGAAAAGTCTTTTCCAACTAATTGTGATTTAAGAATATGTCTCCTCACACCTACAATAGGTCACATCATTGATATACAGTTGCAAGAAAAAGTATGTGCACCCTTTGGTATGATATGGATTTCTGCACAAATTGATCATAAAATGTGATCTGATCATCATCTAAGTCACAAAAATAGACAATCACAGTCTGCTTAAACTAATAACACACAAATAATGAAATGTTGCCATGTTTTTATTGAACACACCATGTAAACATTCACAGTGCAGGTGGAAAAAGTATGTGAACCCCTAGACTAATGACATCTCCAAGAGCTAATTGGAGTGAGATGTCAGCCAACTGGAGTCCAATCAATGAGATGAGATTGGAGGTGTTGGTTACAGCTGCCCTGCCCTATAAAAAACACACACCAGTTCTGGGTTTGCTTTTCACAAGAAGCATTGCCTGATGTGAATGATGCCTCGCACAAAAGAGCTCTCAGAAGACCTACGATTAAGAATTGTTGACTTGCATAAAGCTGGAAAGGGTTATAAAAGTATCTCCAAAAGCCTTGCTGTTCATCAGTCCACGGTAAGACAAATTGTCTATAAATGGAGAAAGTTCAGCACTGCTGCTACTCTCCCTAGGAGTGGCCGTCCTGTAAAGATGACTGCAAGAGCACAGCGCAGACTGCTCAATGAGGTGAAGAAGAATCCTAGAGTGTCAGCTAAAGACTTACAAAAGTCACTGGCAAATGCTAACATCCCTGTTAGCGAATCTACAATACGTAAAACACTAAATAAGAATGGATTTCATGGGAGGATACCACAGAGGAAGCCATTGCTGTCCAAACAAAACATTGCTGCACGTTTACAGTTTGCACAAGAGCACCTGGATGTTCCACAGCAGTACTGGCAAAATATTCTGTGGACAGATGAAACCAAAGTTGAGTTGTTTGGAAGAAACACACAACACTATGTGTGGCGAAAAAAAGGCACAGCACACCAACATCAAAACCTCATCCCAACTGTGAAGTATGGTGGTGGGGGCATCATGGTTTGGGGCTGCTTTGCTGCGTCAGGGCCTGGACGGATTGCTATCATCGAAGGAAAAATGAATTCCCAAGTTTATCAAGACATTTTGCAGGAGAACTTAAGGCCATCTGTCTACCAGCTGAAGCTCAACAGAAGATGGGTGTTGCAACAGGACAATGACCCAAAGCATAGAAGTAAATCAACAACAGAATGGCTTAAACAGAAGAAAATACGCCTTCTGAAGTGGCCCAGTCAGAGTCCTGACCTCAACCCGATTGAGATGCTGTGGCATGACCTCAAGAAAGCGATTCACACCAGACATCCCAAGAATATTTCTGAACTGAAACAGTTCTGTAAAGAGGAATGGTCAAGAATTACTCCTGATCGTTGTGCACATCTGATCTGCAACTACAGGAAATGTTTGGTTGAAGTTATTGCTGCCAAAGGAGGTTCAACCAGTTATTAAATCCAAGGGTTCACATACTTTTTCCACCTGCACTGTGAATGTTTACATGGTGTGTTAAATAAAAACATGGCAAAATTTCATTCTTTGTGTGTTATTAGTTTAAGCAGACTGTGATTGTCTATTGTTGTGACTTAGATGATGATCAGATCACATTTTATGACCAATTTGTGCAGAAACCCATATCATTCCAAAGGGTTCACATACTTTTCCTTGCAACTGTAACTAGGTTGCTTCTCATATAGAAGGGCCAAGTTTATTTGAACACAGGGAGGGTTATGGGGACATTCTTTGTTTCTCAGTCCACCTGTCGTGGACCCAATCATGCCTTTGATAACTTTGCTAAGACTTGGTTCCGGCCCTCTCTCTATATATATTAACGCACCATATGATCCATCTCTCACCTCTAATATCCACGCTGCACTCCAGAATGCCCATATTTACATTAGCACATGTTTGCCAGTGGCCACATTTACACGTCCAGCATCAGCTATGTGGCGTTGTCACTAATGGACTTTAATCAGCAGAGACAAGGAGAGGAGTGAACCTGAGGATTCTCGAAGCACCTTCAAATTTAAGGCCAGAGTGGCTGAATTGATCATTTTTCCAGTTTGGCTATTTTGGCCGTACACCGTTATTTCTCACTTCAGTGAATAACGCTGAGGGTATATTCTTCGTAGGTCTGAGAAAGGACTGATCATTCAGTGGCTGCTCGCATTCTGGCTTTCAAGAGGTTAATTGGACCACAGATGCCAAAAGCAGTAAAAATACCAATTTAAACAAAAAAAAAAGTGAGACAGTAGCAAATAATAAAGGAAGATGTGAAATATCAGAAATTCTATTAAATACATTGGCATTGGCAGCGGGTCACCGCTGGGCTAATGAATATTAAAGGTTCAGTGACATTTAAGATTTCATTAGCTCGCCCTTCACATAAAGTCATTTTTAAATGGCCAGTGGTTTTACTTTGCGACTTATTGAGATGATTTTCAACAGGGAAGCAGATTTATAGCGACGTCCTCTACAAATATACATTTATTTCATTCAAATCTTTTTACTGCTGGTATTTACAGCTACAAAATGCTGCTGGAAACTCGTCAAGTGAATATTAATTTCAAATAAGATAATAAAGGTCCGATGCAGGTGATTTCATGATTAGCTGTAATAGTGCCATGCAACAGACGCGGTGCTTCCAAGATAATCTTGTACAATTCGGCAACTTCCTAACTAATCTTGTACAATTTGGCAACTTCCAAGCTAATCTTGTACAATTCGGCAGCTTCCAAGCTAATCTTGTACAATTCGTCAACTTCCTAACTAATCTTGAACAATTTGGCAACTTCCAGGCTAATCTTGTACAATCCGGCAACTTCCTAACTAATTTTGTACAATTCGGCAACTTCCAAGCTAATCTTGTACAATTTAACAATTTCCAAGCTTATCTTGTACAATTTGGCAACTTCCTAACTAATCTTGTATAATTCGTCAACTTCCAAGCTAATCTTGTACAATTCGGCAACTTCCAAGATAATCTTGTACAATTCGGCAATTTCCAAGATAATCTTGTACAATTTAACAATTTCCAAGCTTATCTTGTACAATTCGGCAACTTCCAAGATAATCTTGTACAATTCGTCAATTTACTAACTAATTTTGTACAATTCGGCAACTTCCAAGCTAATCTTGTACAATTTAACAATTTCCAAGCTAATCTTGTACAATTTAGCAGCTTCCTAACTAATCTTGTACAATTTAGCAGCTTCCTAACTAATCTTGTACAATTCGTGAGCTGCCAAGCTAATCTTATAAAATTCAGCAGCTTCCAATCTAATCTTGTACAATTCGGGAGTTTCCAAGCTAATCTTGTACAATTCAATAGTGATACGTCATCTTGTATCCAATTCACGATACTAAGCAGAGACCTCATCTTTTACTGTGCGGAAATCTGCGAGGTTTAGACAAAGACAACAGCTGAACCTGAGAGACAAACTTGCAAAACACAAATCTCCTTTTATGATCCAAAAATAGATCTTGGACACTAACACCACCCCGCCCCCCCCCCCATTAACTATATGAAAACACCCATTAACTATATACTAGCCCCCCATTAATTGTATGAAAACACCCCATTAACTATATACTAGCCCCCCATTAATTGTATGAAAACACCCCCATTAGCTATATACTAGCCCCCCAGTAATTGTATGAAAACACCCCCATTAGCTATATACTAGCCAGCCCCCAGTAATTGTACAAGGAAACACCCATTAACTATATATCAGCCCCCCATTAATTGTGTATGAAAACACCCCATTAGCTATGGGTACTCAGCCCCATTAATTGTGTATGAAAACACCCCATTAGCTATATACTAGCCCCCAGTAATTGTATGAAAACACCCATTAACTATATATACTCAGCCCCCCATTAATTGTATGAAAACAATTCCCATTAGCTTTGGTATACTAGCCCCCCAGTACTGTATGAAAACACCCCCCATTAGCTATAGTATACTCAGCCCCCCATTAATTGGCCAGGCGAAAACACCCCCATTAGCTATATACTAGCCCCCATTAACTATATGAAAACACCCATTAACTATATACTAGCCCCCCATTAATTGTATGAAAACACCCCATTAACTATATACTAGCCCCCCATTAATTGTATGAAAACACCCCCATTAGCTATATACTAGCCCCCCAGTAATTGTATGAAAACACCCCCATTAGCTATATACTAGCCCCCCATTAATTGTATGAAAACACCCCATTAACTATATACTGGCCCCCCATTAATTGTATGAAAACACCCCCATTAGCTATATACTAACTCTCCATTAATTGTTTTCAAACAACCCATTAGCTATTTGCTAAACCCCATTCATTTCGAGAAAGGGTTATTCTAAGCACCCGGCAGAGACTTCTGCAAAACAGCTTGCCCCATAACACGAAAGCGATGTCAAGTTGCTCCTCAAAACATAATCACTACAGCAGCCTGTAGTGGCTATGGTGTTTGGAGTAACCCTTTAACTCCCGAAAGAATTAACATAATGGACAAATTCCTTTTCTACCCTGCCCCCATCTACATCCTGGGTCATTTGCAACCCTGCCCCCCTTCTACCTCTTGGGTCACCAACTACCCTGCCCCCCCTCTACCTCCTGAGTCATTAGCTACCCTGTCCAGTATACTCAGTGATGTTTTACTCTGTGTCCAGTATACTCAGTGCTGCTTTGCTCTGTGTCCAGTATACTTGGTGCTGTTTCGCTCAGTGTCCAGTATACTCATAGCTGTTTCGCTCTGTGTCCAGTATCCTCAGTGCTGTTTCGCTCTGTGTCCAGTATACTCAGTGCTATTTCGCTCTGTGTCTCTTCGAAACAGCACTGAGGATACTGGACACAGAGCAAAACAGCACTGAGTATACTGGACACAGAGCAAAGCAGCACTGAGGATACTGGACACAGAGCGAAACAGCACTGAGTATAGTGGACACCGAGCAAAACAGCACCGAGTATACTGGACACAGAGCAAAACAGTACTGAGTATACTGGATACAGAGTGAAGCAGCACTGAGTATACTGGACACAGAGCAAAATAGCACTGAGTATACTGGACACTGAGCAAAACAGCACTAAGTATACTGGACACAGAGCAAAGCAGCACTGAGTATACTGGACACAGAGCGAAACAGCACTGAGTATAGTGGACACCGAGCAAAAAAGCACAGAGTATACTGGACACAGAGCGAAACAGTACTGAGTATACTGGACACAGAGCGAAACAGTACTGAGTATACTGGACACAGAGCGAAACAGCACTGAGCATACTGGACACAGAACGAAACAGCACTGAGCATACTGGACACAGAGCGAAACAGTACTGAGTATACTGGACACAGAGCGAAACAGCACTGAGTATAGTGGACACCGAGCAAAAAAGCACAGAGTATACTGGACACAGAGCGAAACAGTACTGAGTATACTGGACACAGAGCGAAACAGTACTGAGTATACTGGACACAGAGCGAAACAGCACTGAGCATACTGGACACAGAGCGAAACAGCACTGAGCATACTGGACACAGAGCGAAACAGCACTGAGCATACTGGACACAGAGCGAAACAGTACTGAGTATACTGGACACAGAGCGAAATAGCACTTAGGATACTGGACACAGAACAAAGCTGAACGTGGCTTTGTTTAGTGGTCACAGGGCTGAAAGTGGCTTTGTTTAGTGGTCACAGGGTTAAATGTGGTGTTTACTGGTGGCAGGGCCAAGCACCGCTTTGTTTACTAGTCATAGGGCTTTTCTTATTGGTTACGTAGCTAAATGACTGTCAGATGTGCTAAAATTTGGAGTGAAACCTCCCTAAACCCAGCTTCAAGCATCTAATTAGGACAGGCTGTAGAGAACACCCCAGAGTCTCCACCTAACTCCACTAATTGCAGGAATGTGTGTGAAGTCTACATGTTAAAAGAGAAACATCCCCGAATGCAGTTTAATTCTTTCAATTCTAGGCAGTTTATGAGTGAATTTATACTGCGTCCAATTCTACTGTATAATTCACCCAGTATAATATATTAAGACATTTAACCAGTAACATTCTGGAGCTATTGCAACCATATTCCTTCATATTATAGTACAAATCTCACAAAATGGTTTGCAAAATAAACACACATAAACCTGGCCCCCTATCAGGTAAAGACAGTCATGTTTAATTTAATTATTTCCATGATTTAAGGAAGAAGAGAGTCAGATTACAGTGTCTACTGTAATCTGTAATATCTAGTTTGTATTGTAAGGTTGTAGACGTAGTCAGGGCCACCATCAGGGGGTGACAACCTTGACGGGCCCCCCATTCCTAATATGCACACATATATAGTGATTAAGGCTTTATATCAGGACCACCTGATGGGCATATGTCTTCAGGGGCCTGGTCACGCAATTAGAGATCCACAGCGCTGATCCCTGTAATTATCATGGCAGTGCTGGGAATGAAGTGAGCGTCGGTCTCTTCCTCCTAGCTAACGTGTGCGGGAGAGGAGAGCCAGGCGCTGACTCCCACCAGCTCAAGCCAGCGGAGGCCACCCATCTGCACCCAAAAGGTAAGAAACAGTGGCTAAAAAATGACCAGCACTCCTGATGATCCCGGGCAATGGCTGCCGGTTCAAACATACGTCGGGTGCATACTGACGTGGCTCCTGGACCAGACGGTTGTTAGACTTCACAAACCTCTTCCTGATAGAACTTAAAATCTTTTCAGCCACTGGTCCAGCTAGGACTAGTTTATTTTTTTTTAATTTTATCTCCTTTGGTTATCTCCCACATACAATTTTTAACTTAAGAACTTCTTTCTTACTTCAACTCAGTGTGATAGGAGTGTGGGTGGTGTGGTGTGGTGGTGTGGGTGGGGGGCATTATCCCATTTCAATCACAAGCTGTTTGATCCTGTTACTTTGGACTTACAACATGAGGGGAACAAGTGCCGGCTGTCAAATTTGTAGGGACTCGCAGTTTAGCTAATTTAAGACTATAATAAGGAACTATATTTAAGGAGATACATGGGCCATGACCCTCTACTTTAGGATTGATTATTATACGTTTTTTTTCAACAATTATTGTCTCAATAGAAGCCTAATCACCAGATTGCAGCCTCTATACTGAATAACTGTTCATAGATGCTGATACTTTGGAGTTTTTCAAACAGTTACATTTTGTTTCCAATACTCACAGTATGTATAGTAGGAGTTACCTAATTGGCTGTTTTGCTCTGAGTCTAAAGTTATATGTTAAGTGCCACTTGCTATCTATGTATTTTTTTGTTTTGTCTTCGAGTATATATACGCTATTTATTATGTATGCTCCATTGTTTTTATACATCCCAATATAAGGGAATGATAAACTACTTTTATATTTTATTAATAAAAGTTACATTTTAAGACTCTATTGATATCTACCCACCACCCTCTAGATATTCTATTCATTTAAGGGCTAAAACCCCTTCATAACTTAGTGGTGATGCATCTCCACAAATTATGATTATCAGTTGATTAAAGACAGATAGGAAATATCCCTTTCTTTCTAACAAATTACCAACATGTGTGTGTCAGCGTGTCTGTGTATGTATCTGTGTGCACGTGAGTGTATGTGTGTATCAGTCTGCACAAGTGTATGTGTGTGTATCTGTGTGTCAGTGTGCACCTAAGTGTATGTGTGTGTATCTGTGTGTATGTGTTTATCTGTGTGTATTTGTATGTCAGTGTGTACCTAAATGTGTGTATTTTTGAATCTGTGTTTAAGTGTGCTCTGAGTGTATCAATGTGGGTGTATCTGTCAGTGTGTGTATCTCTATGTGCAACTACAGGATTCCATGCCCTAGTGAACTAGATTACGTTCGGGGGAATTCTCCCGAACATAGACCTGCTTTCATGCACATGCACCATTTCCCCCCCAAAATAAGACATCCCCTGAAAATAAGCCCCAGTGGGTTTCTTCAGTGGGTCAAAGTAATATTTTCACGGAAAGGTGGTATGTGTCAGTGTAACTATGTGCCAGTGTGTCTGTGTGTGTATATCTGTCCGTTTATGTATTGACCAGTAAGGGTTATTGTAATACCCAGAGAAATCAAAATACAAACTTTTCCTATTGTGCTGCTGACAACTCCCACTGCAACTCCAAGTAAAGTAATCCACAAAAATAGAAAAACTGAGGGCAGTGCAAACAATTGCAAATGCACACACTAAGTGCTACAAAATATTTATTTACAAGGACATAAGGTACAAATGTTTCGGGTTATCCCCTTTATCAATGCATGTCCTTTACAGTTTCTGTATTTGTGTATCTATGTGTCAGTGTGTTTACCTGTATGTCTGTGTGTATATATATCTGTCAGTTTGTGTCTGTGTGTATGTATCTATGTGTCAGTGTGTGTCTGTGTATCTGTATATGTGTTAGTGTGTGCGTGTTTATGTGTATCAGTGTGTGTGGCAGTGTCACACAAATGCAGGCCTGCATTAAAACACCAATATTCACATACACATACTCCATACCAAAACATTATTATTATTATTTTATTATTTATATAGCGCCATCAGACTCCGTAACGCTGTACAATAGGTTTACTAACAGACATGTAATTATAGCCAGACAACTGGACGTACGGGAACAGAGGGGTGGAGGGCCCTGCTCCATGAGCTTACATTCTAGAGGGAATGGGGTATAGTGACAAAGAGGGTAAAAGTAGGGGTACGAAGTAGGTTATTAGAAAAGTATTAATTGAGGGCTTAGTAGGTAATTTTTGACAGTTGCAGGAGAGGAGTCATGGAGGCTGGGGGATGAAAACTTACTAACAGTTTAATTGATATGCTTTCTTGAAGAAGTGAGTTTTCAATGATTTTTTGAATGAATGGAGACTGGGTGAAATTCTTACGGAGAAGGGAAGGGAGTTCCACAGAAGAGGTGCAGCCCTGGAAAAGTCTTGGAGGCGAGCGTTAGAGGAGGGAGTACGGACAGAGGATAGACGTAGGTCTTTGGCAGAGCGTAGGGGCCTCGATGGGACATACTTGTGTATTAGGGAGGATAGGTAGGTTGGAGCTTACATTTAAACACAAAGAAACTGCATTTTTGTGGACGGGCTTTGGGGCAGGCACTGTGGGTGGACTGGGGGCTGGCCCAAGTTAGGCCCAGACCTTGAGCTTTGTCATGGGCCCCAAAATTTCTAATGACAGCCCTGTGTTCTGAATGTAGTGAACGATTGTAGCTGTAGTGTTATGTTTGTAGTGTAAGATTGTACTTGTAGTGTTCTACTGTAGTGTATGGTTGTAGCTGTAATGTTCTGTTTGGAGTATATGCTTGTGGCTGTAGTGTCCTGCTTGTAGTGTAATATTGTAGCTTCAGTGTTCTGTTTGTAGTGTAAGGTAGTATTCTGCTGGTAGTGTGGGATTGTAGTGGCAGTGTTCTGTTTGTAGTGTAAGGTAGTAGCTGTAGTGTTCTGTTTGTATTGTAAGGTAGTAGCTGTAGTGTTCTGTTTGTAGTGTAAAGTTGTAGTTGTATTGTAAGGTTGTAGCTGTAGTGTTCTGTTTGTAGTGTAAGGTTGTAGCTGTAGTGTTCTGTTTTTAGTGTAAGGTTGTACCTGTCGTGTTCTGTTTGTAGTGTAAGTTTGTAGCTGTAGTGTTCTGTTTGTAGTGTAAATACGTAGCTTCTAGAAGTTAGCTCAGGAGTTTGGCAAACCTTTATCTGTGTTCTAGAAACAAATGAGTTAGCATTTCTTCTTGCTTGTTTGCTCATGTATACTCCGTCTTAATTTCCCCTTCGTCTGAGACAGTTTAATTTACCAGGGAATTTATGTCTTCGTTAAAGACTCAGCTTCCTGATGGCTTTTAATGGGCGACTTTAATGTTCTTCATGCGG